TCTGCATATGGAATCAGTGAGGGCTTCCCTTAGCCGGTCACAGCACACGCGTTCTGAGCACGTATCTTATACGTATGTAAAACATTTGATTTAAAAGAAAAAAAGACACCCCCCCCCCACACACACACACACTTTTCGTACAAGAGGACAGGTTGGAGTCTGGGGACCTGGGGTGTCCCCTTCACCCGTGGGGGGCGGTTAGGCCGGTGCTAGTCTGGAAGTTACCCAACCCTCCCCCACGCCGGGGCTTAAGGACCAACGGCTGCACCCAGCGCTTAGATTACAAAGGTTTATTTAGAAAATAGTTTGGTCGTTGGGGTTGTCGTGTGTTGGCAAACATTTCAATACTTTCAGTTACCAAAGGGTGTCAGTGCCTCCCCGACAGCGCCCCCCTGGGTCCCTGGGGAAGTCAGCCCTTGCTTGGAGGTGGGTGAGGGGCGGGGCGGGAGCGTCTGGGGGTTTCTCACCGTCTGGAGGGTTGCCAGCGCCTCTGTGGCTACAACCCGGACCTGACAGCCCCCCGCGGCAGGGCCCCCAGAGCGGGATCCAGGCCTGCAGCCTCGCCAGCGGCCCCTCGCTGAGATGGGAAGGCAGAGGGACTCCCCTTTCTCCTCCCCTCTCCCGGGGGCGCTTGGGTCTCATCCGCCCATGCGCCTGCCCTGCCCCCTGGAGGCCAATCCATCCCTGGGTCCCCGGGGAATGGAACCCGCTTTCTCTGGGGGCCACGCCCGCCCGCCCCCTCCTCCCGGAGCCGCCCGGGGTCTCCGCGCCAGGCGGGGCGCACCCGTCACTGCCTGAAGCCCCTTCTCCTCCGGCGGAAGAGGATGTGCTTGAAGGAGCGCCGGAAGTCCTGGTTGAACACCGTGTAGATGACCGGGTTGAGCGAGCTGTTGCAGTAGCCGATCCAGAAGAAGAACTTGAAGAGCGGGTCCGGCACCTGGCAGGCCTCGCGGCAGATGCCGTACAGGCTGTAGCTGAAGAAGAAGGGGAACCAGCAGAGCACGAACACGCCCATGACCACGGC